TCGCTTTCGTTTCGCTTGTTTTCTCGCCTTCGTTTCGCTTGTTTTCTCGCCTTCGTGTTCGAACTCAGCTGAAACTCTGAAAAAGCTCTGACGCAAAACACTGATACATCTCAAACTCTGGCATCAAACTCTGCATGAACTCTGAAAGAACACTGATACAACTAAGGCAGCAATCTGAAGGAAGGCGAAACGAAGCCCAAGCAAAACGATAGCGAGGAAACAAACGAAACGAAGGCGAAACGAAGGCGAGAAACACAAGCGAAACGAACGCGAAAAAACAAGCGGCACGAAGGCGAGAAAACAAGCGGCACGAAGGCGAGAAACACAAGCGAAACGAACGCGAAAAAACAAGCGGCACGAAGGCGAGAAAACAAGCGGCACGAAGGCGAGAACACATGAAAACAAAGGCGAGAAAACAAGCGAAGCGAATGCGAAAAAACAAGCGGCACGAAGGCGAGAACACAAGCGAAACGAAGGCGAGAAAACAAGCGAAAGGAATGCGAAACAACAAGCGGAACGAAAGCGAAACGAAGGCGAGAACACAAGCGAAACGAAGGCGAGAAAACAAGCGAAACGAAAGCGAAACGAAGGCGAGAAAACAAGCGACACGACGGCGAGAAAACAAGCGAAACGAATGCGAAACGAAGGCGAGGCAGCAAACGACACGAACCTCAAAAACACCGGGCATGTGATGTCCCCGGTGTTTTTGAGGGGAGGGTTTCGTGTGTAAAAAAACAAAGTGTCGAAAACCCATGTGTAAAATTCGCCTGCGGCGTCGAGGTGGGAGCGAGCACTTTCACTGGGATCATATGATTCTACACATCGCGGAGGCCTCGCGGGCGTCCCAGCGAGGCCGGGCGAGGGATGGGGGGAGGCGAGGCGCCGTGCATGGAGCCGCGCCCCGATCCCCCCCCCCCCGATATCGAGATATCGTGATATCGTGTCCCCTGACTCGATATCTCCCGATATCGTGATATCGTGATATCGTGATATCGTGTCCTCCCGACCCCCCCCCTGACACGATATCCCCCTATATCGTGATATCGTGATATCGTGTCCTCCCGACCCCCCTGACACGAGATCCCCCTATATCGTGATATCGTGATATCGTGATATCGTGTCCTTCCGACCCCCCCTGACACGATATCCCCCGATATCGTGATATCGTGATATCGTGTCCTCCCGACCCCCACCGGGACGCCTTGCGACCACAATGCACTTACAGCCTTACGCTCACACTTACACACTTACACACACTTACACGCACGCCCGCCCGCCCGCCCGCCCGCCCGCCCGCCCGCCCGCCCGCCACACACACACACACACACACACACACACACACAACACACACACACACACACACACACACACACACACACACACACACACACACACACACGGTTCCACACACACACACACACGTACACACACCTACCCGTTTCCTGGCCCGTGTCCTGCTGGTGCTTCTCCTTCTCCTCAACCTCCTCTTCCTCCTTCTGCTCCTCCTCGCATCCTCCTGTCTCTCACCTCTCTATCTCTCTGTCTCTCTGTCTCTCCATCCTTCTCCCTCTCTCTCTCTCTCTCCCGCCCTCTCTCTCTCTGTCTTGATCCATATATATATATATATCCATTGTTTGATGCTCTCTCTCTCTCTCTCGCTTGGCCCGTCTATCTCCGTTGTTAGTTGTTCTCTCTCTCTCTCTCTTTCTTCTTCTCTTTCTCTTCCTCCTCCTCCTCCTCCTCCTCATGCTCCTCCTCTTCATTATCCTTACAATCCTCATCCGCCGCCTTCTCCTCTCCCCTCTTCGTATCCACGTTCTTCTCCTCTTCCTCCTCCTCCTGCTCCTCCTCCTTCTCAAATTCCTCCTCCTCCTCCTCCTCCTCCTCCTCTTCCTCCTCACTCTCTTCCTCTTCAGCAACAACGTCTGGAAGCTGAGGCTCTAATAGACGAAGACTGCTGTCTTCTGTCTGAGAGGGGAGGGGAGGGAGGAATGGGAGACAAGGAAGGGAGGGGAGGGTGAAGGACAGGGAGAGGGCAGGTGAAGGGGCAGAGCAGGGGGAAACGAGGGCACACAGCAGGTCATGCGCCAGACTCCCCCTCCAGCTCCTGCCCCTTCTCCTCCCCCCTTCCCGACGTTCTATCCCCCGCTCCCCTTCCCCCTCACCGCCCCCAACCAATACCCATCCCCAGCACCATCACCACCCTCATGTACATGTCCGTGCCCGCTCCCGTCTCCAACCCTCTCCTCCTCCTCCCTCCTCCTCCTCCTCCTCCTCCTCCTCCTCCTCCTCCTCCCTCCTGCTTCCTCCTCATCCTCCTCTTCTCCCTCTTTCTCCTCCTCCCCCTCTTGTTCCTCCTCCCCCTGTTTCCTCCTCTTTCTCCTCCTCCTCTTCCTCCTCATGCTCCTCTTCCTCCTAATCAGTCATCAATCATCATCATCATCATCATCATCATCATCATCATCATCATCATCATCATCATCATCATCATCATCAGCATCAGCATCAGCATCATCATCATCATCATCATCATCATCATCATCATCATCATCATCATCATCATCGTCATCATCACCACAACCATCATCATCATCATCATCATCATCATCATCATCATCATCATCATCATCATCATCATCATCATCATCATCATAATCATCATCATCATCAGCAGCAGCATCACCATCATCATCATCATCATCAGCATCATAGTCATCATCTGCATCAGTATCCACTTTATCATCATCATCATCATCATCAGCAGCATCATCATCTTCATCTTCATCATCATCTCCGTCGTCATCATCATCAACAGCATCCTCCTCCTCGTCCCATTCTCAAGGGGAGGAAGAGGAGGCGGAGGAGGAGAGAGGAGGAGAACAACCTTCCTTCTCCACAACTGAGGGTGAGCAGGCAGAGCCGCCGTGTCTTGGAAGAGTACGAACAGCTGGTTCGAGCTGCCCTCCTGCGCAGCCCCGGCCAGCAGCAAACAAACGGGATTTCCCTGCACATCCTCCTCCTCCTCCTCCTCCACTTCCTCCTTCTCCGCTCCCTCCTGCAGCTTCGAACGTGGTGGGCGCACCCCCACATCCTCATAATGGCTCCGCCACGCCCTCGTGAGGATTCCCCCCGTCGAAACGAACAGGAGCGAAGCCGCCCATGGTCGGCACGCGCACGAAGCAGCCCCCTCCGGTTTGGACGCCCGAAATGGGTACGGAAAAGATGGGTACAATGTCCAACAACAAATGTTGTCCCAAATCAACAGCGGCTGCTGTTGGGCAGGCGGCCCTCTGTCTCAAATGGACACAGGCCGCGGCGGCGTGGACAGCGAATCTGGTTCAAGATGATCAGGAACTGCTGCTGGGCATTGTATCCATTCTTTCCGTACAGTCGGGGCGTTGACCTAAGGCACCCTAAATACGGAACGAGGCCCCTTTTTCCCATAAGTTGAGCTCCGAATTCCGATCGAAGACCTGAGGAAAACCCAGGGCGAGCTGCAGAACAACTAAGGAACACTGAGCCCCTCCCAAACGAAAAGGGTTCCTTCTTCAGCGCCCCGACTGTATGAGGGGCACACGTGAGACACACGACATTGCGAGCCATCGCGCTCCTCTCTCCTCTTATCTCCCCTTTCCCTCCTCCCTCTCCTTAGGAGGAGGAGGAGGAGGAGGAGGAGGAGGAGGAGGAGGAGGAGGAGGAGGAGTGAGGAACGAGGAGGCAGAGG